AGGGAACATACCTCAACGTAATAAAGGCCACATATGACAAACCTATAGCTGACATCATACTCGATGGTAAAAAGTGGATAGCATTTCTTTTAAGATCAGAAACAAGACAAGGAGGCCCACCTGCACCATTTCTATTCAACATATTATTGGAAAGCCTAGCCACAGCAAGCAGACATGAAAAAAATAAAAAGTATCTAAATTGGAAAGGAACAACTAAAACTGCTGTCACCTGTCACAGATGACAAGATACTATAAACAGAAAATCCTAGAGACACCGTCAGAAAACTACAAAGCTCATCAATGAATTTGATAAAGTTGCAGGATATAAAAATTAACACAGAGAAGTCTGCTGCATTTCTATACACTAACAATAAACTCTCAGAAAGTGAAATGGGAAACAACCCTATTTACCATAATATCAAAAAATAAAATAAAATACCGAGGAATAAACCTATCTAAGGATGTAAAAGCTCTGTAATCAGAAAACTATAAGACACTCAGGAAAGAAATTGAAGATGATGCAAACTGATGGAAAGATATACCATGTTTATGGTTTGGAAGATTTTATATTGTTAAAATAAGGATATTACCCAAGGCAATCTGCAGATTCAGTGCAATCCCAATTAAAATACCAATGGCATTTCCTACAGAACTAGAAAAAAAACTGTAAAAAAGATAGCCTTTCAATTTGGAAATAGAATTGTTCAAGCTAAACAATTCCAATTGCACTAATTACTTCAGATGGTCCATATATGGTGCGATTTCTACATTTTCAACATATTGGTAACTCTTTTAATAATCCTGATTTGTAAACACCTTTCTTAAATTTTGTTTTGACAATACAAGTGAAACAAACAAACTCACCTAATTTGGTAAAATAAAAACTAAAACTAAAACTAATAAATTTTATCTTTTTAGTATCCTACTTTTTAAAAAGTCAACATTTTATTTTAGAATAATTTAGGTTTACAGAAAATATGTGAAATGTGAAGAGGATACTTAACTGATGCACACCTAGCTTCCTCTATTATGAACATCACGTCTTTTTAATGATACATTTACCACAATTAATAAATCAATATTGGTACATCGTTATTAACTAAAGTCCATACTTTATTCAGATTTCCTAGTGTGGTAGGCAGAATAATCGCCCTTAAATAAGTATACACTCTAACTCCTTGAACCTGTGTATATATTATATTATATTATATTATATTATATTATATTATATTATATTATATTAATTTAGACTGAAGAAGGAATCAAGACTGCTAATCATCTGACCTTAAAGTGTAGGAATTCTTCTGGATTCTCTGGATGAGCCTAACATAAATACAAGTTCCCTTAAATGTATAAGAGGGAAGCAGAATAAGATGTTCGAGTGATGGACTGTGAGACTTCAACCTGGAGTTTCTGGCTTTGAAAACAGGAAAAGGACCACAAGCCGAGAGAAGTTGGTAATCTTTAAATCCTAGAAAGGGTGAGGAAATGGATTCAACCTTAGAGCCTCCAGGAAAGAATGTAGTCTTGCCAGCACCTTGATTTTAGCTTAGTGAGAGTCATTTTGGACTTCTAAACTACAGAACTGTGGGAAAATAAATTCATGCTGCTTTAAGCCACTAATTTTGTGGTAATTTATTACAGCAGCCATAGGAAACTAATACACTTAGGTTTTATTTTTTTAATGTAATGAGTTGAAAGCATTTTCATTAAAATCAGGAGCAAGACAAGGATGCCCAATCTCACCATAACAATCAGAGAAGAAGAAAGAAAAGGAATCCAAATTGGAAAAGAAGAAGTAAAACTGTCATTATTTGCAAAAGACAGATATTATACATAGAAAATCCTAAAGAGGCTTCTAGAAAGCTATTAGGTCAGCAATGAATTTGATAAAGTTGCAGTATACAAAATTAATATACAGAAATCAATCGCATTTCTATACACTTAACAAAAAATCAGAAAAAGGAATTAAGGAAACAATCTCATTTACCATTACATCAAAAAAGAATAAAATACCTAGGATTTAACCTACCTAAGGAAGAAAAGGACCTATACTCCAAAAACTCTAAGACACTGATGAAATAGATTGAAGATGACACAAGTGGATGGAAAGATACATTGTGTTCTTGGATGGGAAGAATCAATAGTGTTGAAATCCCAAGGCAATATACAGTTTCAATGCAATCCATATTGAATTATCAATGACATTTTTCACAGAACTGGAATGAAAAAAGTTAAAATTTGTATAGAAACAAAAAAGACCCCTAACAGTCAAAACAATCTTGAGAAAGAAGAATAGAGCTGGGAAAACCACAGCCTCTGATTTCAGACTATACTACAAAGCTACAATAATCAAAACACTATGATACTGGCACAAAAACAGATGAATGAATCAAAGGAACTGAATAGAAAGTCCAGAAATAAACCCATACACTTATGGTCAATTAATCTATGACAAAGGAGGCAAGAATATACAATGGAAAAAAGACAGTCTCTTCAATAACAAACAACTCATACAGCTTCATATCAAAAAACAAAACAAACAAACAAACAAACAAAAAAAGCAACCTAATCAAACAATAGGCAGAAAACCTAAATAGACTTTTCTCCAAAGAAGATATCCGGGTGACCAAAAAGAACATGAATAGATGCTCAATACTGCTAATTACTAGAGAAATGAAAATCAAAACTACAATGAAGTATCATCTCACACCAGTCAGAATGATCATTAAAAAGTCTACAAATAAAAAGCTTGAAAGGGCATGAAAAAAAGGAGACCCTCCTACCCCATTGGTAGGAATGTAAATTGGTGCTGTCACTATGGAGGACAGGATGCACTTTTTTAAAAACTAAAAATAGACTTACCATATGATCCAGCAATCTCATTCCTGAGCATGTATCCAGAGGAAACTGTAATTTGAAAAGATATATGCAACCCAATATTCATAACAGCACTACATACAATAGCCAAGACATGGAAGGAAACTAAATGTCCATTGACAGGTGACTGGATGAAGAAGTTGTGGTATATATACAATGGAATATTACTCAGCCATAAAAAGAATGAAATAATTCCATTTGCAGCAATATGGATTGACCTGGAGATCATTATTCTAAGTGAAGTAAGCCAGAAAGAGAAAGAAAAATACCATATGGTAACACTTATATGTAGAATCTTAAAAAAAAAAAAAAGAACTTATTACAGAACAAAAGCAGACTCACAAATATAGAGGACAAACTTATGGCTTCCAGGGGAAAAAGGAGTGTGGAGGGATAAATTGGGAGCTTGATATTTGCAAATGCTAACTACTATATATAA